CTCAATAAACTTTTTCAAATGAAATGAATTTCTCCTATATACTACACCATTTATGTTTACTAGAAATGATCTTGGAGTTTTTAACAATCCTACAATTACTCCTCTTACCCATTCAGATCTTTTTATATCTCTAACCAGCACTTTTTCTCCTACTTTAAATTTTTTCCTAATCTTTGTTCTTTCATCATAATACTCCTTTTCTTTAATTTTTTTAATCTTTAATTCATATTTTGCATTTATTACCTTTGGTTTTAGTAATACCTCTTTTACTGGGAGTTTTGTATTTAGTAATCTAGACATTAAAAATTGTGACGGCGAGTACTTACAACCTGACACCGGTGAGTTTCTATAATAAAGTAGAAATAATTGTAAATCTTTTTTCTCCACCTCTGATTTTTTAATTAATTTTTTGGCAATGCCTACAAATTTTTCAGCTAAACCATTACTACGGGGATAATATGGACTAGATGTTGTTATTTTAAATTTATACTCCTGACTAAATACTCTAAATTCATAGCTATCGAACGGCATATTATCTGCTATTACTTCTGATGGTATGCCAAATCTTGTAAAAATTTCTTTACAACATTTTATTAATGTTGAACTATTAGCACTTTTAATGGGTATTATTTCCAACCATTTAGAATAATAGTCCACAAGAATAAAATATTTTTTCCCAGACCATTCTGCTATATCCACCCCTAATTTTACAAATGGTATATTTGGGACATTATGTTGTATCAATGGCTCTTTACTATTATTAGTAGAAAATTTTTGACAAATGCTACAACTTAAAACAAAGTTTTCTATATCAGAATTAATACCTGGCCAATAACAATGCTGCCTTGCTTTTAATTTGGTTTTATTTACTCCTAAATGAGTCTCATGAAGCAAATTTAAAATCTCACCCCGTGTTACCTTAGGAATTAATAATCTATTATTCCAATACATAAGATCTCCTTCCATCGTTATTTCACTTTTTAGCTTACTATAGTGAAGTAATTCTGTATTTTTTTCTTTAATTTTTTTTTTTATATTTTTAGGCCATCCTGTTTTATAATACTCACATACTAACTTAAGTGCCTCATCCTTTAATATATTTTTCTTATATTCTTCTAACTTATTTTCACTGAACTTAATTTCACCTATTTTTACTGTGTGTACTATGTCATTCATACTTTCATCATCATTAACTACATTACCTTTGCTCACATTTCTACTTAACAAATCAGCTATATACATGAATTTACCAGGGAGATATATTAACTCAAATTTATACAAAAATAGTTTCATTTTAAGTCTTTTTATTCTATTATTTTGTATTTTATCCAAGCCTTTTTTTATTATACTAACTAAAGGTTGATGATCAGTGTAAATCACTATATTATTGTTACCATATATGTACTCATGCAATTTTTTACATGCATATGTAATTGAGAGTAGTTCTTTTTCAATTTGGGCATACTCTTTTTCAGTCTCTGTTAATGATCTTGATAAAAAACATACTGGCGATTTATTCTGAAGTAAACAGCATCCAATTGCATCTTGCGATGCATCACACTGAATTTCAACTTTTTCACTTGGATCGAAATTTACTAAAGTAGTTGCATTACCTATTAAGTTTTTTATTTTCTTAAGCACATTCGAGTGTATATCATTCCAACACCATATCTTATCCTTTTTTAATAATAGTCTTAACGGCGATATAATGTTCGACAAATTTGGTATAAAATCTCTAAGGTAGTTTACCATTCCTAAAATCCTTTGCAATTCAGTTTTATTAGTTGGGTCTTGTAACTCATTTATTGCTTTAATTCTAACAGGGTCAGGCCTCATACCATTTTCATTGAACAAAAAACCTAAGAATTTAACTTCATTCATTTCGAATTGAATTTTATCTTTATTGAATTTGATGTTATTTTCTCTCGCTACCTGTATTACCTGTTCAAGAATGTTATCATGTTCCTCTTTGGCGTTAGCACTTATCATTATATCATCAAAGTAAATAATTATATCTTTTATTTTAGAAAAATATTTATTTAATAAATTTGAAAAAATTTTTGGCGCTACATTTAACCCAAAAGGTAGTCTTAAAAACTTATAAGTGCCAAATGGAGTACTAAAACTACACAATTTACTTGATTCTTCGTCTAATGCTATTTGCCAAAATCCATCTTTTAAATCTATAACTGTATAAAATTTTTTACCTTTCAGTTTTGGTATTATTTCTTTTAATGTTGTTATTGGGAATTTTACAACTTTAAGTGCTCTATTTAGGTCTTGTGGGTCAAGACATATTCTCAATTTTTTGTTTGGCTTTTCTACTATAACTATATTTGATAGCCAGTCTACAGGATCATTTACTGCTTCAATAACTTTAATTTTTTCTAACTGATCTAACGTATCTTTTAACCTTTCTTTGATAGCCAATGGTACTCGTCTAGCTGTATTAATTATAGGAGTTATTTTATCTTTTAAAACTAATCTACATTTTTCAGGAAATAATCCTAGTCCTGTAAACACATCACTATTATTTTTTATAAATTGACTCTCTTTGTTTATTATTTTTATTCTTTTAACTAATTCCAATTGTTCACATAACTCTGATCCTAAAATTGTTTCTATTTCCTTCCTTCTATTCCCATGTATTATTACATCATCAACAACTATAAACTCTCCTTTAATAATTTTATTGTTATCATTATTTTGGCACTCTACCCAAATTGTACCTAATGGTTCAATAATGAACCCCCCAAATGTTTCTATTTTAACATTACATTTTTTTATTTCTGGCTTTGAATTAAATTTATTATAAATATTATACGGTAATATACTAATTTCTGCTCCAGTGTCTATTCTTACTTCAACACTTAAATTATTAATCTTAATTTTTTCTATCCACTTTTTATTTTTAATTTTCTCATTAATTTCACATAGACTATTTACAGTTAGATACTCATCTTCACTATTTAACTCTTGTTCACTCAATGATTCCTCATTTTCTTTTAATTTAACAACTTTAACATTTTTGTTTTTATTTTTACAACCTACTGCAAAGTGGTTCATCTTTGAACAAATCCTACACATTTTCCCAAATGCTGGACAACTTTTTGGTTCATGTTCATAATTACATTTTTTACATTTATATTTAACATTATTATTTTGATTAAACTTATAACTATTAAATTTTACAAAATTGTTCTTATTATTACTATACAATTTTTTACCTCTTTTATTTTGTTGCTGCTGATGATTGTTAAACTTTACTGCCTTGTATACTGACATGTTCCCATTATTTGTTGCTCCGGTTGATTCAATTTCTTGTCTATTAAATTCTGAAAGCTCGATCGATTGACAAAATTGAACAGTTCTCTCTAAGTTTAAATTGTTTTCTAACAGTTTTTGTTGAGTCTTTTTATTGTAGATGCCTAAAACTATTTGTGTTGTTAGTAATTGTTCTTCTGCATCTTTGAATTCACATATTTTTATTAATTCTTTTAAATCCGTATAAAATTTATCAAATGGTTCTACTTGATTTTGTTTTCTTTGGAAAAATTTGAACTGGGACATTACTAAGTTTCGTTTTGGTATGCACCGTGTCTCCATTGCGTCAAGTATTGCGCTTACATTCTTTTCCTCTATATTTTCCTCAATTTGGAAGTATATTTTTCTTGCTTCTGGACCCATCAGGTTCAACAGTCTGGCGACTTGTATTTCCTTTGTCTTTTTCGTCGTTTCGTTAGCCGTGAAGTAGATCTCTACTTCTTGCCTGAATAATTTGAAATTGGCTTGTACGTCACCTTCCAATTTCAATTTTTCGGGCCTTTCATAATCCGTCATTATTACGGATTTTTTTTTAATAAATATTATTATTATTATTACCGTATTATTTAAAATACCGACTGCGCCATGTTTCGTCTTCTCTTATTGACGATATTAGAACAATATTAAAATAAGATATTATATAATATTAATTAACATAGATCACGTGTGTGTGGTATGAGTGTCTTTATTGAACTATGTTGTACAGGTTAGATGCGACAACGCAGTTAGATAACACAACAATAGGTTCCTCCGTCAGCGGTTCTTCTATTGTGGTTGGTCCTTCCGTTGGTGCTGTAGCCGTGTCGGTTGTTGTGTTTGTTGTTTTCGTGGTTGATGTTGTTGGGTCGGCGGGTGTCGTCTCGCCGACGACCTCTCCCCAACGCTTCGGCATGTATTCTCTGTACCGCTTCTAGCGGCGCTCTGCTCGAACGGTGAGGACCGCGCGCTGCGGATGCTGGGGGAGAGGCCGTCGTGGGGTAAAGAAGTTAGGGGCGGTGATGTCAGGACGTTGGGTTGGGGTCGCTGTTGTTGTACATGCTGAAACAGACATAAAAAAACATATAAATATCACAATCCGTCAGCCAGTTTGTGGTCTTACGTGTCATAGTAATTTCTTTTCATTTTTCATACATGAGACGTGAATTTTTCGCTGGGGAACTTGGTCTGTTAAAAACACTCCTTTCCCTAGGTGATCCGCTAATCTGACGGGACCCAACCCAACCAAACCACCGGTTCATCACGTTGATCATTTCCTTCTACACCAGCGATTTGTCGTTGTCGCATAAAATTACGCGCACATATCCGAAGCGTGAGAATAATTCGCGCTCTAGCGTATCAACAATTGTTTTTGTCGTTGCCGCTTCGATTGCGTACGTTTCTGTTCACCTACTGAAACAGTCAGTCGCAACTAACAAGTTTGTTACTAATTACTAATTACTTCCCATGACTGTTTTGGTTGGCGACTGGTTCGTTACGCCTAGCGCCTAAAGGTCTTAAACCAAGCAAGTTTCTATTGGGCTGGAGACCCATATACGTCACTTGAGATTGATAAGCGCCGGTAGGAGCATTACTTATAGAGTTCCGAACTGCTTCAGCGAGAACGCCTATTCAAGGAATTCCTTCGTATAAGATATATATATTGTCGTCAACACCTTCGCCAGGAGGAGCGAGGTTACTATAATAACTATCGTTATATTCAGGCAGAATTACGTTTGAAAGATTGTTCTCATCAGTATGGGGGCTACCTCGCGTACTGCCATATATATTCGATGCGAACAGCGAACACTTTCGCATGGATTTGTTACGTATGGTCCGACATGATTACTGTCATGTAGTCTAATTGGCTTGTTGATTAAAGCGGGTAGATTGGATTTCGAATCCGACTGTGTTTTTGGTTTGTCGGATTGAGACTTAAATTGGTGAGCGTTCCGAGAGCTTTTTGATTCCGTTGCTTATCGGGATGACCACGTTGGATACCAGCGGGGTTTGTCTCGGATGTGNAATCTACCTTGGTTTTACAGTAATATTATTATGTTATCACAATTATTTTTTTAGTTTTTTATGATAAATTATTACCTGTTGCTCCTCTCTTAACAGTTAAATTCTTATTTTATTTAAAATAGTTATTTTATTATTGTTTATTGTTATTGTTACTAATAGTGTTTATTATTTAAAACAATTACATCACTGATATTTTGAAAGTAACAAATAACAGTTATCAAAATTGATAACAAGTTGCCTACAATACTTTTTACAAATATAACAGTTATATCACTGTTAATAACAATTTTATACAAAGATAACATTTTCTAAGAAAATAACAGTAACTGTTATTTCGAAAGTAACAATAACAGATTGTAACAGTTATCAAAATTAATAACAGGTTGCCATCACTAGTCTCCATAAAGTAGACCTCCAGGGTTAACAACCGTCTGAAATCTCATTATATAGAGATGATAGATGCAAATTGCAACTGAACTTACTCATGCCAGTCATTGATCGGACATATGTTTAAAGAAAAGACTTCTTCATTTACTACTTGCCGCCTTATTTGTACTACAATTCCTAATTGTACGTGTACAACGACAGTGGCCC